GGGATTGCCATGCCACAACCCCTTCTCCATTCTCCTCTCAGGATCTTGGGCACACACACACACGCACCCGGCATGAGTTTAAGCCACTGAGTCTGGGACTCTAACTGCGGTCGACTACATGGGAGTCCAGCAACATAGCCATTATGCTAACTGCTGCCTTTTAATGATTTTCTCTCCCTCCTCTACCTCCTTCCAGCTCCACCCTCCAGCCCTATCACTGGACTTTAAGGGCCTGGTTTGAGCTCAGCAAGCAGTGCTGCATTTGTGATGCATAAAATAGCAGCGAACACCATTTTAAGCAATTCAGCCACCCACAGAATGACGCCAGCCATTTCTTTTTTGATGCCTTCCAGCCTCGCTATGCCTGACCATTTCTGAACCTCTAGGAAGGCTGAAGTCCTAGTTTTCCCTTTCTTTTTATGCTTTAAAATCCAATTCCATTTGCCACTGAATTCATGGAAAATCAGCAGTGGTTCATGCCCAAGGTCTCAGCCTCCTATGAAATACTGTCTCACTTTTCTCTGGATAGGAATCTGCTTCAAGGCCCCTCTAGCTCCCTGATTCATAGCCTTAGAGCTCAAATTATCTTTCAAGGAAAACTTCCTTTATAAATTGCTGATTCGCTGACATTTAAACCACTTTCAAAGTATTAGAAAGAGATGTGCTATGAGAAACAAGTTTCTTGGGAATTTTCATTAGACTTTCTTGGAACTAAGAAAATGTGGTCTCCTTGAATGATAATGGATATGAATCCTAAGAAACTGAAATTTAGCTTTCAGAGGTTGAAGCAGCTCAAAATTTAACACTTGTTTGGCCAGTTTAAATGCAAGGACTTCAAAACAAGGAAACCTGAATTCTAACCCTGGCTTAGCCATAATGCAGCTGTGATATTAAGCCTCAGTTTCCTCTTCAGTTCAGTAAGAAAGTTAATAAGAGCTCCAAGGATCTTTCCAGCTCAGATGCAGAGTCCAGATTCTGCTGTGACTCTCCTGTTCATTCTTACTCCCTTCCCACATCACAGAAAGTGGAAGTCACTATAATTGTTTACAACTCTCAACTACAATAATTTCACCAAGCAAGTATTTCTTGAGTGCTATATAACCATATTTTAAGGTATAT